GATAGTTTCTGTTTTTCTTCCCATTTTTGTCAATTTTTGAGCCCCATAATGAATTATGTGCATTAAAATTTCCCAGTATAATTCGAGGTGTAGAAATCTGACATCAAAGATTAGAAATGTCTGCTATATTTGGATCAGAATTATAAGCGATGTAAAGACTGCAGATGTTAACTTTTAGTGGACTTACTAACCACACCGCTACAGCTTCTAGATTTGTTATTAGAGGAATACTACAATATTCATAGGAATTCTCGATAAAAATTGAAACTCCACTACTGGCATGTTATTGATTTTGCCTAATTTTAAATACGGTTGTATAATTTCTCAAATTATGAATTTTATTATTTTTAAAATGAATTTCTTGTAGACAAATTATAGGAGGAGATAAGGGATATTTTTCTATCGCTGTTAATTGTGGAATTATTTGCCGGTATAAAAACTTTTCGAAAATCCTTTATATAATTTTCTATCGGATTACAAAATAAATCAACAAATCTTATTCACTTTGTAAATGCTTCAGTATGTTCATATATGTCCACAAAGATTAAACAGTTAGCAAAACTACTTTTGCAGATGGTAGAGTGTTATTTTTGGACATTTGTAATACTCCTTTTCGATTATTTCTTAGCCTTAGAACAGTCACAGTCTGACGCTAGACTTAGCGGGTAATAAAAGTATTTTTAGTTTTATGAGGCCTACAAGAAAAACTATCACAGCGTATACATCGGGAAAATTGTATATCGATTTTACAATTACGCTGTAAAATATGAACCAGATCTGTCTGACGCCTCGTCAAAGTTTATAAATAATTCTAGGAAACGACACTATTTTTATTATTATGTTTTTCTAATATTTTGGAATGGATGAAGCACATAACGAACATTGCAAAGATAAGGAATTTCAAAAGCCGTTAGGAAAGACATGAAAGTTTAACACTAAAGAAATAACTAATACCATAGAACAAAACAAAAGTCTAAAATTAGTTGTAATATTTTATATCGACTTCCCCCATCGAACCCACATTTCCAATGCTTCAATTTTGTTCATGATCGATAGTTTTAGCGTCCACACTTTTGTGCTATACAAAAATATGGACCAAACATAGCACATAACCATTCTTTGTCTTAGTTCTAAACTGAGATGATTATTGCAAAGAAATGACTTAATTTTCATAAAAGTAGTTTTAGTCATTGCTATTCTACGTTTTATTTCTATGTCTGGATCTGGTTGGTCCGTTATCAGAGTACAAAAATATGTCATTTTGAGAAGTTTCTCAACTTGGACTCCGTTTAATTGAAGTTTTGCATCGGGATGTGGGTCGCGACTTAACACTAAGAATTTGGTTTTTTTCCAGTTTATTGTAATGCCCATTTCCTCTTCTACCTCGTTAATACGATCAAGCAGAATTTGGAAAACTTCAATATTATCTGACAGAATTACTGTATCGTCTGCATATCGGATCACATTAAGTAGTTCCCCGTTGATTTTTATTCCATATAGTTGTCACTCAAGTGCCTTTTTAAATAACTGGTGACACGACTATCCTTGTCATCTACTCCGATATTTTTCAGTATTTGCATTAATCTTACATGCTGTACTTTATCGAATGCCTTTTCGAAGTCCACGAAACATGCAAATACATCTTTTCTTTGGTCACGGCATTTTTATAATAGGATGTTAAGTGCAAAAAGTGCCTCCCTGGTTCCCATAGCATTTTTAAAACCAAATTGGGTATCTTCTTCGCATTTGCGTCTAATTCTGTTGTGAAGTATTCTTAGGAAAATTTTGAGAGTGTGGCTCATTAGGCTAATTAATCAATATTCTGAGCATTTTCTCGCATTGTGTTTTTTAAGTATTGCGACAAAGATGGATTTGAGCCAATCTGTGGGAATCACTGCGGTGTTACATACTGAATTAAAGTCTTACTACTACTTTTATGTTATCATCCTCTATTAGTTTCAGCAACTCAGTTGGTGTATCATCTGGACCACAACACACGCGTGTTTTACCTCGCATTTCATAATTTATGGGCCGTCAGTACAGTTTTGGTAGAATTCGGCAATATTATTCCTGACATCTTCAAACAACTCTGATATATACAGCTGCCATTTTTTTCTTATTTCGTGCTCATTTAGAATAATTTTCTTATTATTGTCAACGAACACAGAGAAAACTCGTTTTTTAATTATATTACCGCAGAACGGGGCGACTTTGTTAATTTTTTCCGTATTTTCTAGCGTAACTTTTGAATGGGTTATCCCAAAAATGTGGAAAAGTCACCATTGGGATGCATTTTATTTTTATTCAATTTAAATTGATAGTGTATATGCTTCCAAATTGAGGATTTTCTCAAAAAAAAAATAAAAAAGTGTATATCAAAGTCACCCATTGATGTGGGGTTACTTCGATACCCCATTTTGAAATAGCTTAGCGCATAAAAGCTGCAGTAATATCAAGGTCAATCCATTTTTTAATCAGTCAAGCCAGTTTTTAGATATTTGAATTTTAATTTGGGGGTGACTTTGATAGCTGCTACAGACACAATAATTAGTATATATTAAATGATTCTAGAAGTAGCTAATACTTTATTGAGGCAAAAACATTTTAGCAAATTAGTAAAACAATATAAAATAGTAGTCAAAAGAATATATTATGAAAGGCAAACAAAATAAGGTATTTTTCTTTAACATCAACTCTGAGAGGAAATATGCATTTCGTTGCTGTTTCATTTGTTTTAACCGATGCGATGGGGTCTTCAGAATTGCTAAGATATCTATAGGCCGTATGACACTATGCATTTTCTTGTATCATTTCTTATATCGTTTCTGATATAGAAAGATATTTATGTTTTCTTGTATCGTTTTTTGTACGTACATTTTTGCCCTGTATGACACTATGCAAGTTCTTTTACCAGAAACTGTATGTGATTTGGCACATGATTGGTCGAAATTTTGACACCTATAAAAATAGAACTGCAGTACCTGAACCTGAGGCACCGAACAAGGGCCTGAGGACCCCAAGCTACTGGGGACTGAGAACATATGCTACTGATTATTTTTAAAAATACTGTGGTGCAAAAATGAAAGAAATAAAATGTCCCAATATGAAAACTAAATTGGAAACCACAATTTTTGAAGATATTCAACAGGTTGTAATGGAAGACAGAAATAATAAATAATTTGGTTGTAATAATTTATTTGTTTTTTTTTTAAATTATGTGTTTGAATGGTATGCTCTTGAAACTCTACTCTCTTATTTGGAGATATAAAATAATCTTTAAACTCATCACGAATTTTTAGTGCGGTTATGTATTGTTTTCAGTAAAACATCTCCTACTTTCAGTCGTTCCGATGCTATTTGATACAATCACTGTGATTTATTGTTTTTCAATATGGCTACTGATGTTCTAATCTTGGTTAATGTTGGTGGGCAATTTTCTCTGATGTCTGCTTGGCCTAATTGTATGTATACATCAGAGATACTTACATATCTCTGGTATATATCAAAGTTCTCCTCCAGCCATAGAGAAATAAAAATAATAATTATTTTTATTTCTCTATGCCTCCATCCGCCAATATGACATGAAAGAAGTTTTACGTTTTAGCGGCTTTGCGCACAAATTGGCGCATTTCTTGTACAAGAAAATGCAGCGGACACAAATTCTTGTATCGTTTCTGATATAAGAAACTATACGCCTGTATGACACTATCCATTTTTTTGTTATATCAGAAACGATATAAGAAATGATACAAGAAAATGCATAGTGTCATACGGCCTTATCAGCGAAAGGAGCATTAAAAACGTCAGTCTCCACAACTTTAAAATATTTATGGGATTCATCCAGTGACTTAAGTCCAATGAGTTCGTATTCGTCAGAATGTAATTTCTCTTGTATCCTTCCGGTATATACGTAATTTATACATTTTCGTTTACTTGACATAATTTTTACAAGCACATAAGTTCCAACATTCAATTCAGCAAGAGATAGTTTTGTATTCAACTCATCTTCATATGATTGGTTCTCCACAGAATCTTCATTTTCAATTTCATTTTCGCTTTCACTGGTATAGCTGTTTAATTCGCTATCGGAGGAGCTGTCATCCGCCGTTACATGTCGACTTACACTTTTACCGGGTTGGATATTAAGTTTTTTTTACTTCGACGTTTAGTAACTTCTATCTCGTACTTCTTATTTATTAAATAGTCTGTGAGGATGTCATTAATCAGAGGTTCTACATAATCAACACCATGGTTGATTGGTGCAATTTTACTCAAGACTTTATTTGGATCGAAAGGAACCATACCACAAGCCTCGAACCCATTCTTCAAAACTCTCTTAATTGTACTTTCTTCATAGTCTCCACGTTTGTGCTCAGTTTTTCCAATTATCTGATCCATTAATTCCAAGCATTTTTTAATAACGACGGAAATTGATCTTTAGGTACACCAGTACCTAATCTTTGGGTGTCGCAATTTAAATTCCGTCAAAATCTTTCGCCAAGACACTTTTATGGGTTTAAAAAAGGATACATCCAAAGGCTGGCATATGTGTGTTGAATTACTGGGAAGGCACGCAAATTCAATATTGTGCAATTCACACAGTTTTAATACATGATCTGAAAAGTGCTCCTTTGTTGCTCAAAGATAAAGACCTTTAAAATGAAAAAAAAAACCTATAACAAAAGTTAAAGCAGCAATTAATTTAAAGTTATATAAGATGAAATAAAATATATTATTATAGGAGATGAAAACGCAGGAAAAGGTTTTTTAGTAGTAAAATAAATGCTCGTACTGAATAATTTGAAAAGAAAGAGTTTATCTATTTGAGAGTGAAAATTAAAGAGAGAAAAACAAGAAATAAACGACAAAATCAGAACAAGAGCACTAATTTAAGCTCAACCTTACAAAACTCGTTGAATTAAATATCTAATTTTAAAATTTATTATTATATATTTTATTGTATTAAAATATTATGTAATAATATTTGATTTTTTTTTCAGACAAAGCAATTGGAAAAGGCCGCATCAGCTGCTTTCACGTTTCTTGTAGCACATCCGGAGAATAAGGTGATGTCGACCAATTTAAAGCACTATCTTGATCACAACATTGAAAAAAAAGACATTGTAAACTACGATGCCAAAGTAAGTGGATATGCCTTTTGTTATAAATATCTGTGATAGTTTCTACTTACGCTGATTTACTGCGATATAACTTTAATATCATATTATTGCCCAGTGAGCGATAAAAGAAATTCAGGGTCAGCTTAAAATCATTTTTTAATCTTTTAATAAAATAAAAAATAGTATTACACTAATACTAATATTCTTCTTATAAGCGCTATAATATATATATATATATATATATATATATATATATATATATATATATATATATATATATATATATGTATATATATATATATATATATATATATATATATGTATATATATATATATATATATATATATATATATATATAACAATTTATTGTGTTGGAGTATCGGGTATGCGGTTCGATATTAAAAAAAACTCTTTTTTCTTTTAATGCTCTATATTTCGTTGATTTTTTTGTCAGCTTTTTGTCAGTTGTAAATAGGAGCAGTGTGGTCAACTGGAGCACCATTGTGTAACAACCACATTAGTTTTCGAATATTTCGTTTCGGCACCCATTTTGGAGCCATTATCAAGAGGGATAAGGTTCCGTTGAGTTCGGGGTCTCAATCTGGTGGCGTGGCGTACCAATATCGTGTTCTATAGAAATACAAGAACCGTCAAATGGCACTTAGGTCTCAATCTGCCTATTCTTTAGTGTCGAGTGACTGAGTACTTGGTGGATGAATATAGTACAAGGAACAGGGAAGAATGGATCAATCTATTGATTTTAGGGCAAGCTTATGATGACTAGAATAATTTTATCGCTATTTTCTTTACTTTTCTATATTTTTTTTACAAACTCCATTGCTAAACAACTTTAAAATAATAAATTTTTAAACATTTTCGTATTTCAGGACTATGTTTACCTATATGCCCATGGAGCTGATGCTTATGACAACAAAGAATGGCAATTTGTTGTGTTTAATATGGAGGAAAGTTTGGTACATTACCTTCAAGCGGAAGAAGAATGTAGAGCTCAGTGTGAGGGACCATTCGATCACGGCTGGTATCCCGATTTTATTCCATCGATATCAAGTATGTATTGTAAGATTAAATTTATATTATTGAAATGTAGAAGAGGACAATCTAACCAAGTAGTAATAGCCAAAGGTTAAGAGGACTAACTTATATCATAAGAAAACCAAAGCCACAAGCTGGACTTAATATAAATGTTATTAAATCAGAAGATATTAGTTCAAGAGTTTGTTTATATATAAATGCTATGCTTGATTTTTTTTGTGCTTTCTACGCTAATTACATCTTTCTTTTTTTCTTTTGCTTACATAGGTATCATAATACTTTATTGCTTTCGTACACAAAATTACCTGTACACTGTCAGATAGACATTGAGGAAGATGAATAGGTTGACAGACAAGGTAAAAGTGGAAGAGACAAAATTCAATTCATCGATATATCCTCCTCCTAAGTGCCTTCTCTGTTGAGATTGGCGATCAATATGGCAAATTTCTCTCTGTTCTGGGCTTGATGAATTAATTCATTTCCTCTTGTGTGGGTCCAACCTCTGATGTTTCGTAGCCAAGATTTTTCCTTTCATATTATGCCCCTTTTACCTTCAATCTTGCCTTCTAATATTACCTGGAGCTGCTCAAATTCCATATGGCACATTATATGTCCTAAATATGACGTCTTTCTAATTTTGATAGTATTGACCAGATGACGGTGTGTGTTCATTACTCTCAGTACTTCTTATAATAGAGACCACACATAACACTTTAGTGTTCTCAATCTTATTGACACTGATAGCTTGGGGTTACAGAGCATTTTACGCATATTCATGAAACCAGATCTTGCTATTTTAATGCGTCTTCTGATTTCTTTTGAGTGGTCTAGTTAACTATTTAGCTCTCTGCTCAGGTATATGAAGATTTGAGAACTCTGAAGGGTGATACCATTTATTTGTATGTTAGGTGTAATGGGGGTTTTTGTGAAATACCAGAATTTTGGTTTTGGAAAAGTTAATGTCCAAGCCCAGACTGTGTCTTTCTTCTTCATCAATATTTTTAGTTGGTCTTCTGTTTTTGCTAATACTACGGTGTCATGGGCATATCTTATATTGTTGATGATGATTCTATTGACTTTGGCACCTTCAGGGCGATCTTCAAGAAAAGCTCTAATTATGTGTTTAGCATATACATTAAATAAATGGGGGGACAAAATGCACCCTTGACGCACTTCTCGTTCTATGTTAATGTACTTGGTGTTTCCGTTCTCTGCTCGAACGCTTCCTGTGTGGTTCCAGTATGCATTACTTATGATAGCTATGTCGTGTCCGTCCAACCCTAATTCTTTTAGCACCTCAATCAATTTTCCGTGTTTGATGCGGTCGAAAGCCTTTCTATAATCGACATAGCACACATACAGCCCTTGTTGAACCTCAAGATACCTTTCTGCCATCAGTGTCAATCCCATAATTGCTTCTCTAGTGCCTGTACCCTTTCTTAAACCATATTGAGAACGACTCAGGTATTCTTCGCACTTAGTGTGAATTCGGTTATAAATTATTCGCATAAAAATCTTAGCGGCATGACTCATTAGGGATACAGTCCGATGGTCTTCACATTTCCTTGCTTTTTGTTTTTTAGGAAAAGCTATATATGTGGATGTTAGCCAGTCATGCGGTATTATGCCATGTTCATTATAATGTTGCTTTCTTGACAGCATTATCACTTAGGTGTTTAAAATATTCGGCTGTTATTAGGTATTCACCGGGTACCTTCTTGTACTTTGCGTCTTTTATTGCTTGTTTAATTCACTATCTGTATCTATTTGTGGGGCTCTTCTGTTCTCCGATCACCAAACAAATCTTTAAGATGTTGCTCCCATATTTCTTTCTGTTGTTCAGATTCGAATTCCATTTGGTTTTTCTTGTTTGTTACAATCGATAAGTGTTTGGATTTCCATATTCCATTTCAGTATAAAACAGTACTGGCATGAAATGTGGAACATCTAATAACGAGAAAACTACCAGTAGAATTTTTCTGGGTCATATTTGTTTCACTTTGTTTCACTGATGGGTCACTGAACTTTGTTCAGTGACCCATCAGTACCTGCTCACATAATTCCCTATCTACTCATTCGGAAGAACAACAAGCGATTTACCAAAGGAGCCAAATATGCTGCTAAATTGTAATACAAAAACAGTTGAATTTCTAAATGTTTAAAATCTAATGATATTAACTTATAAACTGCTTAAAAAAACCTTATTTAAGAAAGTTCTAGCTCAATATTCTCTTCAAAAATCCAAGAATGTTTTTTATACTAACACTTTTTCGTTTTTTTTAGATCATTTCACAGTAGCTTTAAGATGCAAACAAAAATGTAGAAAGAAATTAAGCTCATTGAACGGAGAAATTCATGATGATTTATTACCCAGCCATTATCACTATCTGCAATATGCTTATTATAAACGTAAGTACTGTTAAATAAATTCCGTTTGATATAATTACCCGTTAAGTAAATATTACGAAACTATAATTATCGCATTATTTTTAAATTCGATAAAATTATTTTCAATATGTTAATCAATAGTGTTTTGTTGACCACACTAGGTGCTATTTATACGAATATTCTGAAAGTTTTTGATAATAGAGAGCGTCTTGTGCAATTGAGAAGAAAAAACATTAATATATGAAATAAAATCCACAAGGAAAATAAATTCCTGCAGCTGGCTGTATACCATGTATCACAAAAAGAGGTTTAAATCTTCGTAAGTAGGTATATTTAAAAAAACCCTTAAAAGGGCTACATCAAAATAACAAACGTTTTCGGAATAATAATTCCATCATCAGGTTAAAAGCAGGTTAATATGCCTGGGCCACCAAAATATTAGGATAAAACCCTTTACAGTAATTAAAGTTACCAAAGAATGTGCATATTGTTGTTAAAAATGGATGATGTTTAATATTTTATTAGATTTTACTTCAGGCAACATATAACCATGCCTTACGTGAGTACCAGCGTCCGAAGGATAGACCTCTTCAAACGGACTTCAGCTGGTATGGTAACTGATTGACATGTGATCTGTCAGTTGTGTCTGTTCAGCTGGTATGTTCAGTTAATTTTTATTTCCAATTTTATATCGTGGCTGTTAAAGATTTTTTTCATTTTGACGAAAGCTGATCTTGCCTTCTCGATCCCTATCTTAATTTCCGTCGATTGGTCCCACTGTTCATTTAAGTTTGCAACCAGATAACAAAAGTTGGTGATTTGTGTTATAGGTTGTTGGTTAACTAGTAATTGACCAGGTGGTATCCTATTTTTGCTTATAACTATCTATTTGGTTTTTTTGATGTTAAAATCAAGCCCAAACCTGCTATTTACTTCTGCCACCCTGGAGACAAGTGTCTGGAGACCTTCAAGACTGTCTGCAAAAATGACAGTATCATCAGCGTATCGCATAATGTGCTCTGAATATGTATTGAACAATAATGGGGGCAATAAACTGATCCCTAACTCTAACAGCTGCAGTTTGTTCGTAATAGATATTGTTTATAATATGGCGATCTCTGCTCTCTAGACCAATTGAATTTAATATTTTCATCAGTTCGTCATGTTTTATTCTATCAAACGCTTTCTAGTAATCAACAAAACACACACACACACACACACACACACACATATATATATATATATATATATATATATATATATATATATATATATATATACATCACAATTCACGTCTCTACATCTTTGAAAAAAAACTTGTATTGCAAAAAGTGCCTCTCGATTACCCAATGCGTCCCTGACACCGAATTGTGTGTTTGTCATGTGTTCTTCACACTTTTTATATATTCTTTTATGTATAATTTTTTAAAAAGTTTCCAGGAGATGGCTCATAAGGCTTATTATTCGATAATCTTTACATTTTTTGGCATTGGGTTTTTTGGGGAGTGTTATAAAAGTTGATCTCAATCACCGTTGGGGTATTTTTCTACTTTGGTATATACTGTTGAAGATCAAGGTAAGTCTTTTACTTCGTCTTTATCCATAATTTTCAAAAATTCTAAGCAGCTTCTACTTTCGCTTCGAGAATAGATGGTCCGGTATCGTCATTTTTATTTTGTGCGATGGTGACATTCCTAGCGTCTTCAAATGTTGTTGTACATAGTTCATCCATGTTGTTTTCTTTTCTACAATATCAACTATTGGATTTCCTTGAGCGTCTGTTGAGTGTCCCAGCCTTTTTGATTTATAGATGCCTCCTACTTCTGTGATCTTTTGTGGAGGTTGAAGGAATCGTGTTTACGTTCCAATATCTCGATTTCTTCACACTGTTTTTCCAGATTTCTATTTTTAGCTTCTCTGACAGCTTTTTTTATCTCTTTGTCTAGAAATTGATATGCAACGTAGTCTTTCCGATTCTCTTCTTCTGTCCATCATCTGTAATATACTGTCCATGGTTTTTTCTTTTCTGTCTTTTTCGGTCGCAGGTATTGGCCTAATATTTCCTTCTCAATGTTTTCTAAGTGGTTTATTTCTGTGTCAACATCATTAGCTACTTCTGACTTAGATATGTTTTTCTTCAGATATTCCGGTACTTCTTGCTTTATGTCATCATCTCTTAATTGTTTGAGATCGTAACTTATAGGATTAGGTCTGCGGATTTTTTTTAAATTTCAGACGAAACTTAGCGACAAGTGGGTTATGGTCTGACTTAATATCTGCACCAGGGTAGGTGTTATTGATCGTCTCCAAATTGTACAGTTTCTCACAGAAGTTGTGTGTCACATGGACCACAACTTATACGTTGTATATACAAGAATAATTTATAAATTAAAAATTTTCTAAGCATTTCACTAAAGAATATTACACAATAAGAAATCTCTTATCTATTAAAAATGTATTAATAATTTATTTTTTAGTTGGCAATCTCAAAGCTGCATGCCAAGCAGTAGCAAGTTACCTGTTGTTCTATCCAGATGATGAGACTATGCTGGATAACATGAGATATTACTCCAAACAACCAAAGGTGGAGATCGCATACTTCCAACCAAGAAGGGTAAATAAATAAGGGTTAAACTTAAAAAAAAAATCATTAAGTACTGTTCTTATATTTTATTTTAAACTGCCAATAATCAATACGTACAAAAAATGGAAGTGGCTAGTTCAGTCTAATAACGTCAACAGTTTCCTTCATTTTTGTTTACAACTCTTCGTCCATATATGTTTAAATGTGGGCACTTCCATGAGGTTTATTATTATCTGTCATTTTTTTAATTTGAAGCAATCACTTTTATGTATTTTCCTTAACTTTTCTGCATGTTTCTTCTTCCTTAGAGTTTCCACTATATTTATCTCTAGTGTTCTAGTGTTAATAACCAGATTCCATGTTTATTTAATGCTTATTCCGATTTACCTTGTTTTGTAAGCTGTTGAGATAGAGATTTTTTTGTTTCTTGTTTGGATACGTTCTAAGAATCTTTACCATATGTTAAAAATGGTACTATTACATTCTTGTATTCCCTTTGTCAATTCTTTTAATCCTTTCAATGATGCTTTTTACCAGAAAAAAGGTCCTTCATTGATTATTCTCAGTGTTTCCCCTCCAGGACTTCTGTGATCGGTCTAGCGACATAGAGAACCTCTGTTCCTAATGGAATATGCTGCATTCATCTGTTCCTGTTTCTTTTTGAAAGAAACGGTATTTTTTATCAATTTCCACAGCTTATCTCTCGCAATCGAGTCAAATCCTAGCTTGCAAAAAAGAAATTGACTTTAATTCTGCTAGTAACACAGTGTCATCGGTGTAGCGAATACTATTGATGTATTCACCGTTTACTCGGATTCTCATCTCTAGGTTTGTGAGGGCTTCAGTAAAAATTTACTCAGACTATACATTGAAAAGTGTCTGTGGGAGCACACAGCTTTACTCCTCGCATGATCTTCACTTGGTTCGTCAGCTGGTCTTCGACCTTGACTTGAGCACGCTAGTTCCAGTATAAATTCATGATGATCCGAATGTCCTTCTCATCCACTCCTACTATTTGTAGGGCGGCGATCATCTTCTGGTGCTGACAACGGTCAAATGCCTTGGAGTAGTCAATAAAACAAATATAGACATCACAACTGACATCGCGGCATCTCTGAAGTAGGACTTGTAAGGTAAAAAGTGATTCACGTGTACCCATGGAATTGCGGAATCCAAATTGTATTTCACCGACATTTTTTTGTGTAAAATGACCCATTTCAAACTGTGTGTATTTCGATAAACTAATTTTGTATAACAGTCCGCTTATATCGTTAAAGAAAACCAGCTTATTTTTAATTAATTCAAAACCGTCCATGGATAAGTTCAGGTCTCACACAAGATCAAGATCATTCTGTTTCATCTTCTGGAAATCTAGGTAGATTACTGAGCATTTTAATGTTTTTTTTTTCTAATCTAGGTCAGGATATATTAATTTTTGTTTATTATTTCGATTGATACCTTTTATAATTACAATACAAAAATAACAATCATCGTGATGGTTTATTGGTTGGTTTCTTCAGTTTTGTTTCACACATTCTCATTATCTTTACTCCAATATTATACTTCGTACATTCAGCTCACCTATCTATGCTAGACAATTGTCAAGGTCTGGTTTTCTTTTTTGTAATACCGAAGAAAAATATTTGATGCCAATAACATAATTATTTTTTAGGAAGCTACCCAATATATGCAGAGACAAATTTACGAAACCAGGATATTGAAATTTGTACATAACGAATTTCAAAATAAATTAGTAACAACAACAACTGAGGTAAATATTAAACTTAATAAGTATCATGCTTAGGTCTAACTATTATTATACGTCTAGAAGATATGTGAAATCTTCATTATTGTTTTTTTATCGCGTTAGGGAGCATTGTTTGAAATGTTGTTATAGTTTTTACTCCTATTTATTTACTAATAGGCCAGTAAAAATAAGATTATTTCATTATGGTATCAGAAAAACGTCTAATTTAACAGTTATGTCAAAATTCTGAACGAGGGCATTTATAAAATTAATACAAATGAGCAAATTTACTGCATAAAACGTGTTAAAATTTATCAGAAATGATATTAATATGGAACGTGACAATTTATGGTAGACAATTACAAATAAGACACAGTAAAAAATATTTTTTATTTGTTATATACAGTGTGACAAAAAATATACCTGAGGCCTTCACTTTTATCCGTTATGTTGACCATAGAAACTCATACACAACTCAAAAGAGAGGTTACATAAAATCAACTAGAAATAAAAAACACACAAACATTAATACAGATAAAAATGTTGCTTTCTGCATATACGATGACTTTTATATAACAAATAAAGCCATCAGAAATGGAGGATGAATTTATATGTTCAGTTTAGAACTCACTGGTGTTCTCCCTTTCGCATGTCATAAAGCATGTTTCAACTATAGGGGCGGAAATTTCTAGGAACAGTAAATCCCCACCAAACAAAGAAGATTATATGAAACTTAATTTAAAAAGTAAAATCAATAAACAAATTATATATACATACATGAGATTGTATAAATTCCTAATATTCGTGATAAAGACAAATAAAAACCAGTAGTTATTCATAACCCAAATTGCTTTACAAAAAAATGAACTAATTAACGTAAAAACATAGCTGTTTTTGAAAACTAAATATTATGAGACGAACATTGGATATCTATATTACACAAACTAAACCGCTTGTCTACAAAAGAAATCAGGAATATACTAAAATATGATACGGCAAGAAAGACCAATGAGATACCAGTAGACGGTACTCGATATAGCAGCAAATAGTTTTGGTAACAAATTGTGTAGATTGTACTTTATCCCAATGGGTAAATAAATAAAACAGGAACTACAAAAGTATCGATGATGCCGAACACCGTTTGAATGTACCATTATAGACATTTAAGGCTACTTAATAAATTTATGTATTCTTCTTCCTACCTTATTATAAGGATGGAAGAAGAAATGAGACCAACAGAGCACCCAGAACAATATTTAGGAGCTTTATGTTAATTTCTCGACATTTCTCCGAGACTTTCTAAAGAAACTAAAAAAATCAAAACATGTTTTGATATTTGCTACATTTATTAAAATTTGTTTTTAAAATTTTGTGTTTTGGAAATTTTCTATAACAGTTTGACCAACAATTCTTGGGTTTTTCTAAGTGTATTATTAACACAGACTCAACACTTTAAAATTGTAAGTCTCAATCTTAAAAGATAAATACTTTTTTAATTTATTGATCTACCATCTAGCATATAAGATTTACAACAATTTCTCTATGTTTTGGAGACTACGTTCAACAAACGTTGAATTCCAAATCTGGGTGGGACTTTTTGTAACATCTTAAAGAGGAGTAGCTTACTGTAAGAACACGAAAAAAGTCAAATAGGATGCACAAAGACAAATAAACAATTTTCACAAATATGCAAAGAGCAAATAGTATAAGTTATAAAAAAAGAACAAGAAAACAACTACAGCCAAAGTATCTCACATGAACTCAGCTTAAAAACAACGATTACTTGAACTATAGATAATGATCCAATAGATATTCCAGAGAAAAACTTACGAAAGAATGAACACAAAGTTTTGTTGAAATGACTTTGAAAATGTTAAACCTTATTAAAACGAAGCCTGATAAAAGGGAATGAAATGACACAGATCCTTATCTTCCTTACCATGTTCTTCACTTTTTAAGATGATTAAAAAAAACAAAACGAAATCAGCTGTACATCTTCACGGATTTTTTATCAGCTACACCTAATATATCTTCTAGAAACTTCAAATATCTCTATAAGATCTTTTCAGCTTTTTTTCTTAATTAACTGGGTTAATGTTTAAATTACTACTTTTACATTTGTATTCCGCACTTAATATTATAATTAATTAAAGTGTTGAGTCACGTAGGATTGTATTATAGTATATAATAGTATTTAATACTTTTATTTGGTAGCATGAGGTTATTTTAATTTACTCTAATGATTTAACTTACAGGGTGTGCCTTCTCAAACTGACAGTACTACATCTCCTTCTAATTCTTCCTGATTATGCTTTTGGGATAACTACAATACTGTATATAGCTGTTTGTAATGCTAACTATAGCTAATATTGAATTTTATACGATTTGTATGTGATTAATAAATTGTTTTTAATAACTTTTGGATTTTAATTTGGTTGTTTGGTGATATGCATATATGAGATTTTGGTTTGTACACTAGCGAGCAAAAAATCGGATTTATTTCAATTCATTATTGCTATTTTCTTATCTTAGTTACATCTTTGGAAGAAATAAACAATATGACTTACATAATCCTTAAAAAAAATTTGTCTGAACATTAAGTGTATTTGAAAAAAAAAAGATTAGGTTCTAGTATCATCGGCAGTAGAAATATAATTTCTATACCTACACATTTTCAATACAGAAATATTTTTAAAACAGTACCATCGGGGTATTCATGTATAAGAGCGTCATGTACATTTAACACTACCGTTTTCAAAGGCACTGTTAAATGACACTTAAATTTCACAGCAGAAAAATTAGACGTTTGTGTCAATTTTTTGCACGAATTCACTTAATATTGCTTTTTCGTCACTATTAGTAAAAAGCTAACGATTCTGCACGTTATGTTTAAATATAAGACCAGGTAGACCAGGCGGTAGAGTGTCTGACTTTCACGAAGAAGGTCGGGGATCGAATTTCAGCGTCGGCGAGAATATCTAGATATTTTGAAATATCGACGCACCCCCTAGGTCGACTCAGCTGGATAACATAAGTAACTTTGGTAAAACCAGGGGTAATTATGGGTGGTTGAAGTGTAGCACTGGGACTGTTACCTTCACAGAAATGTAAATATTAACTGAAATAATTGACAATGTGTAGTAAAATACCTTTTTGCACAATTAGGCTTTTATGCGCATAAAACATAACATTATACAGGGTGTTTCAAAAAGATATGTCATAAATTAAATCGTACATTCTGCGTGATTTAATTTATGACATACCTTTTTGTAACACCCTGTATACACGTATAACCAAGCAATATGATTTCTCTTAAACAAATCTCTTGAGGTAGGAAATGAAACAGAAATCAGGAGTTACGATGAACGAAATTGATCTAAAAGGTACCAAAAGAGTTGTTATCGATGGAATGACCACACCCAAACAATGTAAATCTCTTATGGAAATAGCCAAATATTATGCTGTGATAGGAGATGGCTACGACGGTAAATCCCCGCATACTATACTAGAGAAGTTTGAAGGCATAACATTCAATAGAGCATTGTTTTTAAGTTATTACAAGATGCTGAACCTTAAACATCTACATACATTTTTTGAAGTTACCGAAAAAGCAAAGGAGCTGATAAAAGTTCATTTCAAACTCAAAGGGGAATTATATTTTTCATACACTCAGCTTGTTTGCAGATCAGCACGACCAGGTAAGAGTTTAATATATTCTTGCTTTACTTTTTGGTTGATTGTAATTTGTCACATGATCATTTAGTATAAACTGGAGTTCAACTTACGTACCAACTTAAAGATGATCGAGCTTAAAGTTCTTAGTTATATGGGTTCTGTTTCGTTAATTATCTATCTAAATTCATGCTGCCACGTTATCGTTCCATTAACTCCTCAATGATCTTAATCTGAGGCATGTTGTATTACTATAACGGCCAAATAGCTAAGAGCATTTCATTTTGGGTCTAGCTACCACAAGTGCTCCTGATGAGAGGTGTATTAATCCCAAGTCTATTACGCCAGTCAGTTCTATCTATTGCCAACTGTTGCCAGGTTGCTGCGCCTATTTTTCTACCATCCTCATCTACACCATCCCTCCATTTGATTTTTTGCCTACCCCTATTTCTACTTACCACAGGTTGTGACATAAGGATTCTTCTAGGAGAGTTGTTCTGCTGCAATCTTGCCAGATGTCCTGCCCATCTTAGTCTTTCTATTTTTATAAGAAATACTACGTCTTTACCACCAAATATATGTTTATATCTGTGATATACCTCGCAGTTGTACCTCGCTCGTTTAGCGTTAAATCTTCTAATATCTCGAATAAGGAATTGTTTAAAAAATCAAGATACATATCACCATTTAAATTTCCAGGTAGAATATGATAACTTATTAATTTGTTACCTAAAGTTGCTGCCCAATAATTAACTTTAAATAAGTGTTGGTAATGTGATACCCTTTTGACTCGTGGATTCTCATCACACCAGTAGTGTGCATTATGGGAGTTAAACATACCTTGTCACGTAAAGGTGGCCTCGTTCGTAAAAACAATGCATTTTAAAAAATTTGGATTGAGTTGTCCTTTGTTGCAATGTTTCACAAAAATTTACTCTAACCGGTAGATCATCTGGCAAGAGCTCTTGGACTTGTCTGTAATGACAAGGATGTAATTGCTGTTCTTTCAGTATCCGCCAAGTACTTGAAGAAGAAGTATTTGTTTGTCTTGTTATATTCCTTACACTAACTGTTGGATCTTGATCAAGTAAATTTAAAATATTATTTTCTTTATTAATTATTCTTGTTGTTCTTGGTCTACCAGAATTTATTTTATTTGGTCTCATATTCCCAGTTTCTCGACAACGTTGTTCAACGGCTCTAAATGTTTTTTTTTTTTGCTTGGTAAGTTTCTTCTAGGGAACTTTTCTGCATAACGTGTCACAGCTGCACTAGAACATCCTAAACATTCGCCTAAGGTTAATAACATGCCAGAGTATTCAACATTTGAGTACATTTTGATTTGATTTTACAAATAACAAGGTTTCAAAACTCTAATTATTGTTGATTTATTGTCATAACAATCAATAAATGTCAGATTTACATGGCATACTTGGAAAAAATAGAGGTATACCTATTAGAACTTTATCATTACTACCAGCATCAATTATTACTTCAGAATTTTCAAATCAAAATATTCCGAAAACGGTGCACAGTATCGAGTTTTACCAAGAGTACCTTTTTCATGTAAAATTGAATGATGTTTAAGTTTACTTGAAATTTTGATTAATAATTATACTCTTAAAAAAGTTATATTGACTAATATTTAGTATGATTCGTGTAACTAGCGCCCTCTATGAGAATCAGATATAAAAACAAATTCATGGGATGTATCAGCTTCCAAAACATATTCGTATAAAATTTCATTAGGATGTTGCCAGTAGATTCGGCAAAATCGTAAAAAATGCTTAAAGTTTTTTTTTCTTCAACGCCCTGTATCTTGAAAACGGATAGCGTTACAAAAATTTTTTACCAAGCAAACCCCAATTATTTTTCAATTTTTTACCTACCCTAGAGACGGGGTTACCTTTTTTTGAAACACCCTGTATGGGGAACAGTTGTACACGCAGTCTTGGTACTGTTAGTTGGTTTTGTTGTTGTTGCCAAATCTTCATTAAGTGGACGATGTCTGTTCTTATACTATTTTGAATACTTATCTCTTCTACTATATTTATCTTTTAAATATTTCTAAAATAACTTTCAGATTCTCCCACAAACAGAACTGATTTTAGTCATAAGATTCATGCTGACAATTGCATCATAATGGAAAACATGACTTGCTTTAGAACATATCCAGCATTTACCTGGAGAGACTACAGTGCAATTTTATATTTAAATGATGAATTTAAGGGAGGAGAATTTGTTTTCTCAGCTGACGCAGTAGGAAACAAGATTCAAGTAAGTGTTTCTTTATAAGTTATAATGAAATCATACAAAATGTCTGTGTCTTTGTTCAAAAGTAATATTTTGGTCTAAATTAACTTTAACAAAATATAACGAATTTAAAAACTTAATTCAACTAATTCCTCCTCCTTCGTTTCCTAACAAACTTAATTCTCGATTTATATGCTTATGTTTATGCAGAATATTTTTAAACACAATATAAAACAGCACACTCAAAAATATTGAAATATGCCAATGTTGATGTTTATTCTTTTTTTGTTTAGAGTAAGATCCGTCCAAAATGTGGACGATTGGTGGCCTTTTCTTCAGGTCCAGAGAATCTACATGGTGTCAAAGCAGTGAAACGAGGCACACGGTGTGCCATTGGAATGTGGTTTACCCTAAATCCAGATTATGTAGAAAAGCATAGAGACCTAGCCAAAAATGTTGTAGATAATAATTCTCAATTTGAGATGGATTTGTTAGTCAATTTAGATTACCCAAAACCCTATGTTCCTAATACTTAGAAGTCTGATATTTTAATGCTTAGTAGGTCTATAAAAATTGACTTGGTAAGTCTAGAAAAGTTGAAAATTACGGAAAATACAGTGACAGTGAAGACAAGAATTATCTTAAACAAATCACAGCTGCATAGCTTATCTTGCGGAGGTATTACTTCTATATTTCATGCCTTGCTGTAATTTACAATGTACCGGGTGGTCCAATAAGCTGATCTCTCGGCTATATATGAGAAACTGTCACTGTATCTTTTCTACAATATATTTGGTATTGTGGCGGAGTTAGAAGCTTTAATTAGTTATACAAAATGCCTGGACTAAATGTTTTATTGCAATTCCACACAAACTTTCTTTGGAATACAACAGAAATTGTTTTAAAATAATTTGTTCTGGCATTTCTGTATAATCTATTATATTTAATGGAAATAAACTACAAGTAGTACTTTTCTTTGTTCTTTAAATATTTATACAGTATTTGTACTCCGTTTCGAGGAAATTCTCAACATTTTTATTAAAAATATTTTGTTTCGGTGTTTTAATCTTAAAATTCTCAGTTCATTATTTAATTCCGTAGATAGATTGAATATTAGCCTAAAATTAATATAATCAACTATACCAATATAAACAAGATGAACTAAAAGACCACTTGATAGTGGTTTATTTCTCTTTTTTTTTCTCTCTCTCTCTCTCTCTCTCTCTCAATACCAAATAAAGTTTAAATTATCTCAATAATGGTTGTGATGATTTTTATTGATGTTATTAATTAGAAAAAAAAATTGCTGTTTTGTTAATGTTTATAAAAAATAATGTAGTACTGTAACCTTGAAGTATGCTTTGTTTATAACCTATAACTGAAAAATGAATAAGACTGTTTTAATGACTTATATGGAAAGTCAAATATGTATTATAAATAACAAATTAATTGAAAAAATTAATAGTTCACATTTTTTTTCAATAAAGTTATGATGAGCTAACTCCTCAAAGTAAATTAAAATAGCTAAATTTGTAGGTAGGTTTCAATGCTTGAAGAATATTTATTATTGAAATACCAAACATTAGAAATCATATTATACTACTAGATTAATATTTCTGACCATTTAGCGTGCGTTTAAACATTAAAAAATATGTTATACATAATACTTCAAAAACATGATGTCCTAGTCGATATTTTATATTATAGGTTGGTTTTAAGAGGTTGTATTGTTATGAACTAACTGTTTACTAATATTATATTTTGGATTTTTGTAAAATAAACGTCTTTGACAGATACACGAATCGTATTTTATTTGTAAAATAACATTTATACATAATTAACCTTCCATGGTTTCTTTATTTACCCATTAAAGTGAAACGCTTGCGTCTTTCGTACAAATGGCGGTGAATATTACGTACGGTATTTTTGAGACAAGAACACGGAATAACTTTTCATTGTGCTGTATCGTCGTTTTGTAGTTCCGATAAGGCTTGACTTTCGGATACCCAGCTAACTTTTGAATACTTTTGAACGCTATTTGACTTAAGGACACTGTCAGGCAGGGAGTTTCTCTGTCAAAGAATAAAGCAGGTGTCCTAAGGACAGAAACATGACGTAGAATATAAAGATGAAAGCTGGCTTGATCCTAATATATCTATCTAACCCAGCCATACTCACTACGCGGCCCTCATACTTCTAGGCAGTAAAACAAAATTTGCGAGTTATAATATAATTATGTTTCTATTTATGTATTTAATCAGATTACAGTAGTGTAGAGCGGCGCCATGCATTGTACCGCATTTCGCATTAGTCATCAATACCTCCACCACAGTGGCACTGGCAGGCCAGTAAAGATGTTTCAAAACCTTGTGGAACTCCTAAATACGCATGTCCGAAGCATAGCATTGATTTGAAAAAGGTTTTTTCTGTGTATACTGATGGTTGTCCATCAATGTTGGGGCGAAATATGGGGTTTGTTCAGCTGTTGAAAAAACACTTGCTCATCACTCATCAAGAAAGCTTAGCTGCTAAATTTGGTGAAAATTTCAGCTGTTTTATGGAAACACTTGTAAAGATTGTGAATGTCATAAGATCAAATTAACTAAACCACAGAGAGTTTTAAAATTTTTGGAAAGAACTTATGTCGCAATATGGAGACATTATTTACCACACAGAAGTGAGATGGCTGAGTAAGGGTAAAGTTTTGGAACGTTTCTTCAGCATTCGACATGAGATTACTTTGTTTTTGGCTACAAAGAATAAATAGTTTCCTGATATTCATAATTTTAGTTGGTGGCCTAAAATAGCATTTATCACTGATACAATGAACATTATGAATGAAACATTGACCCAATTGCAAAGAGACTACAATAACATTGTAAGGAAAATGATAAGTATCGTGTTTTCACTGGAGCAGGAGCTGAATATGTATATTGAAGAATTGTCAAATGAAGATTATTTCAGCTTTCCTTAAGTTAAAGTACTGTTTGATGAAAATCCAGATGAAATTCAAGAGATTTCTGACAACAGCAAATGTAGCTCATCTTTCTATTTTTGTATACGAAGCTAGGAATTTGAAAAATTAGTTATTTGATCTTCAGAATGATAAAGAGCTCAAAAGTATTTTTGAAGAAAAAAAGGAGAAAAAGGCTCACTATAAGTTTTGGGAAGCAGTTGAAAATGACAATTTCCCTTAATTAATTGACTGCGCTCAGAAAATTTTGTGTATTTTTGCATCCACATATGTCTGTGAATCTACATTCAGTAAGCTGAAGTTCATAAAAAACAAGTACAGATCTAGGCTAACTATTGAGAACGTTGAAAACATTTTAAGAATTTCAGTTTCTTCCCAACCTGCTAGCTGCCATTCTATAGAGCTGTGAGAGATTTCGCCCGTCAACTTTAAAGAATTAACACATTCAGGACTTGACATTCCTGGAGTCAAGTAAAAGGAATTTTCCTACTTTTTACATGCAAAACAGTCCATATAATTTATAATTATATTGTTTTTACGTAACTTGTAATAAACTTATGTTATAGTCATATAGTTTTAAAGTTATTTCATACCACCACTTGTACTTGCGGCCCTGGGGAAAATTTCATTCAAACTATTAGCCTCTCAAAGAAATCCCAGTGAGGATCGCTGATCTAACCTATGGGCTTAAAGTGTCTTCACGCCTGAATGGCTAAACGCATCTATAGTAGAAACCATGATTAGAATGCAGTGTTGGATATGTTGGCACAGTGGTAGGTGTGTGGTAGCTTGGTAATAGACTGAGAAATCAGGACCATACGTGCTTCGTTTCAAAAATCTTTACTCATTAATCTAACTGAGTTAAATAAGATAATAGACAAAAAAAAAACACTACTTTCTTGGCGTGGTTCACATAACTATGCCAATGCTCTTTAAATCAGCGTTGGTAAGCTTCTTTTATCAACCATTCTAAAGTTTTTTCTTTAAAATCGACGTTGTTTTAGGCCACATACCTTTTCACTTGACTTCACACCATCTTAATCGGGTTCAGCCCGCAATGGTAAGGCGGTAGTCTCAAAATATAATGCCATATTTTTCCGCAATTATTTCAATTTTGTACTTCTCGTCCTCGTATCTAAATGCGGCCGCAGTATCCAGTAATTCACTTTTTAAGTAATCTTTCTCTAAGAAAATGTTGTTTTCAATAAGCCAATCCTTGATTTGTCTTTTGTTCCACAATTTTTTCGGGAAATCAAATTTGCGGAGGTGGTATGACGCGTTATCCAAAACGACAAAGCGTTTTTTTGTCTTTCGGCAAGTTTGGAATTAACGTCTTCTCAAACCATTCTTCATATAGATCCCGTCCATTTCGTCATGGTAATCAGCAGTTCCCTCCTTGGTCAAGAAAGTTAATTCGGCCCACACCACAAAACCAGTTTCGCTACCAGTATGAGGAACAAACCGAGGACCTCCAACCTACGGTATCAAAAGGATTGAGCTCTGGTGGAATTCTTTCCGTGTTATCGAGCTCTAGGTGACTTGGTATGTTGGAGTATCTCCCAAAAATGTTCGTACACATCTGGACCTCGCGAGGATTACAGCTTTCTGCGTGACATTATAAAGATGTTCATTTAAACCCAGCTGTTTTATGTTCGCTAGGAAGTTTTTGGAATAACACCAGTAGTAGATTGAACAATAGATACTGTTGGGCACTTTCCATTCTGCTCCATTGTTCGCCTGGATTTTTGTAATTATAGATCTCTATACTTGGCGATCTTTTTCGTTGTATTTAATACGTAAATTATTGGTGTTGGGTATCGCCACATCAATAAGTGCTGTTTGCCTAGTAATTTTATTAACTAGTATGAGTATCGGGTCTATTATGTGCCTCTGGTTTGTCTGTAAGCACAGTGCGGTCCCACTAATATAGCTTGTAGTTGTCATTTTCAAGCATTCTGTCAGGGACGTATTGATAATAAAGAAGATGGTCGGTTGGAGAGAAGTCCCCAGTTTTTGAGCTAGTTCTTGCTAAATAATCCTACTGAGTCATGTCCGTTCTTTATAATCAGTACGACAAACGCTTGGCAGCCAATTATTATTATTATTATACATAACAAGAGCAGAGGAACAAGTCCCTATTATGACCAAAAACAAAGAATTTCATTAATAAACCTACTAATAAATAAAACAAAATTAAATTGTGGACTTTATCGAGAAATGCAAGTCCTCATTAATGAGGGGTCGTTTAAGTCTGCAAAAAAATAAATGCCAGGCGATTTGAGAGAGTTCAGTATCAACTTACGAAAAGTCGGTAGTAGCATATGCCACAATATTATTTTTTGAAGGTAGTATTTGATTGAACTAGGAATTGGAACTAGGATTGAAATAGGAGAACTGAGTTCGAGAGATGAAATCAGCTGTTCGTCATTAATGACCACTAGATCTAAAGTGGAAGGTTGGTTAGTATTTCTAAATCTAGTAGTTCTGTAATGAGTTGTGTCAATTCGAATGTACTACAAAGCTTTTAAATAAATTATATTGTTTCGACGTCAGATAATGAAGTTATTGGCCAGGTGATCTCTGGGAAATTAAAATCCTCCAGTAATGATAAGATTATACAAGAGATGATAGTTCTTCTAGTTTTGTAAAGAAAACATTATCGTGTGCAAGTAGTGTAACAGTGAGGACGATATATACATACTAAATTAAAGCAATAAGAATTTTTAGTAACAGATAAGTGAATTGCATCTATTCCAGTAATATATAATAGCTTAATCTTAATTTTAAAAGTTGTGGTAATATATATGAGATAAATAAATGCATACACCGCCACCCACACGATTTTCTCTGACCTTACGATATATATTGTATATCCATTAATATTAACAGAGAGTCAGGAATTGAGGGTTTAAGCCAGGATTCGGCAATACAAATAATGTCCAGTTTAAGAAGTTGTACTGTGCATACTACTTCGTCAAACTTAGCGGAAA